TTTCTTAATGTATCATATCAAGAAAAGTTTAAAATTAATCAAAAAAAAAAATATTCGGTTTGTTTTGGCGCGGGTATAGCAAAATTTAGGTGGGAATCAGGAGGGAATAAATAACCGTTCCAATATGATACAACCGTTGCCGTAAAGCAATATCTTGGGACGGTTTACGAAGTCATTACAATAGACAGACCAATGGCAACGGTTTCAACACAATCGTAACGATTTGATAGCTGAAGTGTGCCGATATCACCTAAAATCTATTGCAACGGTTGTAACCGTTACCAAATAGGCTGTATGGCAACGGTTTTTGAACCGTTGCAAAAATTACTGTTGCGATAAGCCCATTTTCTAGTAGTGTGAACCAGATTGAAGAACCAGCTCTATACAGAGTTTTATGTGTCTTTCTTTATTTCTAGTTCAACTGTAGTAGGTGTTTTCATATTGTACCTTTCAACTTTATATAGAAGCAATTGTAATAGGTAGTTTGAGTATTCAAGTTAGAGTTAACTTGAAGTTGTCGCAACAGTTAGAGGCTGGTTGCTACAACGGGATTAGAGGTAATCCTTAGGTTTAAAAAGAGTTTTGTAGATGCTGTTTTGGCTCAGTGATTTAGTGAAATGTTGGAAAAAATCCTACTGAGTAGTAGGTCGTGATTTTTTTCACCTTTTGAGCCGGGTGTTTTCCACGTAAAAAATACTTGTGTTCTTTACTTTCTACACTTATTATTTTGCAACAGTAGCAGAAGGAATACATAAAAGAACCAGGTCCTTCCATAATCAGTTTAAGGGAAAAATTGGTCACCACACAAATTACCCCCCCCCCCCCCTCTTGTGTGGTATTGAAGTATAAAACATCACCCTCGCAACTTCATATCCTTCTGTTTATGTTTATGTTTTGAGTATCGGTGTTATTAGGTCTTCTATAAGTTAATTTTTATACTATGCTACTTCATATACGATCTAGCTTGCCTTAATGCCATTCTGCAGTTTCAATAGTTTCAACCCTATTCAAGTTTCAATTTCAAATCATGCATAGCTAACTAAGTTGATTCTGATGTTTTCTTGGTTCGTATTAAACCAGATTGATGTCGATTGCACCTTGTTCTGATTTCTCGTATTGAAATATATAAGAAACTAGGTCCTTGCTCAAATTGCCTATAACATCTCTCTATTGAGTCTTTTATGCACAATTTGATATTTCCCTACAAAAACATATCACGACATTGTCTTAATGTTTAGCCTAATATGCTTTTCCTGACATTACTAGTCTTAATGCATGCCCATTATAGGTGTCCAGCATGATTGATTGCTCATCTTCATGTTTAAGTATAACTGGCTACTTAAGATCTGTTGCTTATCATGAATCCATTCTCCTAGGGAATTAGTGTATGCCCAGAATTTATTTGAATATGTTTTTGCTAATTCTTTCGTGCAAAACCTGCTAATTTCGTGAAATCAACCTCTGGTAATATGAATTCTATATGCCAATGTTGTTACAATTAACAGTCAGACTTGTTTCTTCGTTTCGATGTTGTGTACTCACTGATTTCTTAAGAGTCCTAGGGTGAATTCCGATATATGTTTAGTCTATCCTCACTATGTCAACTAGAATAAGTCTTGGCCCTCTTCATGTGATGCCTGAAAGCTAACTTATTCTCATTTGGCGTGAACGCTTACATGTTGGATATAGAACCCCTGTGTTATGATTGGTATTTTCCTGTACATTTCACATGTTAAGTTCTGCAAGTTAGTTGTGATCATTAGACTCTCCTTTCAAAGTTTTCTTGTGAAACTGTTTTACCCTTTGTTTATTTATATTAGTCCTACTGAGATTAGTTTGGAATCATGCCTATTTGAATGTATGTTTTTACTGTCCTATGATGTTCAAAACTCTCATTGGGAACTTGTTTCCGTCTATGCAATATGTGCTTGTAAAGGGTTTGTGCAGACTCATTTGTGTGTCTTTGTCCGGAAATCCCTGCTCTCTGTTAGCTATAGTGTTAAGAGATAGAATTCCTAAATCTTAAAGCTTGTTTGACTGGCCTAGTACCTAGCTTGTCACATGTGTTGTTAAGGGTATTTAGTATTCAATGGGTAGACAAGGCAACCATCTTACGATTTGCGCCTAGCTTTGGGCCAGTTTGGTACTAAGAACTGAAGCATATTAATAGCCACCTGGATGGTGGGCTTGTTCATCACCTAAGGTTCCATGCTTAGTTCAAGGCCCAGAAGTAGCCCTGGGTATACTGTATTTGCTGTATTTGGGCCTGAGGTCGCCCTATTAAATCTGTAATTGTTTCACTATCCTATTTGGGCCTTTAATAATCTGTAAACAAATAACTGGGAGTTAGTGAAATGTGGGAACGGGTATACTTTATTCTTGCATAAAAGGGTAGAAAATATGCCTATAAGGTCTACATGCTTTATTTGCTATTTTGTTTAGCGTGCTTTATTTCTATACACTGATAGAAATCATACATATAGAAAATCACACACTTCACTTAACTTGTCTAATACATGTATACTATCCAAAGCATGTTAGTTTAAGTAGATACTGTACCCGTTTTCACGTCTACTATTGTGCGCTATTAGACATCATATCTATAGAAATCAATGCCTATAACTACTTGTTTAATTATCAGAAAACATGCCTATAGGGTGTAATAATACATACCTTTGTTAATGCTCATCTAGACACCATCACTATAGGGTTTTAACTAATTAATCAACTGCTTCTATTACTTTCATTACACTGCCCCATCTAGATGACATGCCTATAAGGGTAAAGTATTATAAAAGCAAGTTCAAATGCCAACTGCTAGAAATCCCGCCTATAGGATACTCTCACTTGCCTAGAAAGCCTATCTATAAAATCAGTGCTGATAATTCTGAATTCTCGAACTGATTCACTACCTTATTGCGCAAATAATTAGAGATAATACCTATAGGGTTTGCAATACCTACAATCTGCAAATTCATTAGTCTTAAGCTGTAGTACTGCCGGTACAATACTGAAAATCGAGATCATAGAAACCATTCTTATAGGACTTAACAACTCTAATGCGTCTTAACTCTGAAACTGTATGCTGCCTAATCTGCTCGCGTGCATTTGTTGTTTATGTGTGGAGGCTAACATGAGAATTTAATGTCTTTATGTGAAGTCCTATATTTTTTGAATGTGCGCTAGTTTTTATCATTTTGAGCATCCTAACTGAAGTCTAGAACCACCCAAATAGTAGGTCCAAAACCTTCTGGACCATAGGCATGGGACGGGTAGAGCATGCATAAGACATGGTTTAGAATTGAATTAGAATGCTTCAGGTAAACAACTTTAACATAGTAATTGGGTAGCAGGAGATGATAGTATATGCCCGCTAAATAATATGAGCAACCTCTACCCTAGGGGAGTTGCGAAGTATTATTTATGTTGCATAGGGTGATCCTTTAGGCTAAAAAACTTAGGACCCCCCCTCCTTTATATGTTTATTGTTTCCACTTCGTCTCTTGAACTTAGAATAGTTAAGTTGTATCCTATAACCTCCAAAGACTTGTATTAATTATTTATGTAGTTCAATTCTTGTATGATCTTCTTTACACTCGTTTATATTTTAGTAGAACCTTTAAATTCCTTGTCTTCCCTCACTTATATGATCACATAGGATAATTATAATCTGATAATCCCACATAGCGTGAATTTTGTCCAGGACCTACAGTTGTGGACCTCGAAGAGTTACTAACACTTCTCTTCGACATAATCTGAGCCCTTACCCGATCTTTGGTGACACAGACTAGTTAAAACAGAGTTATTTGCCAATATGTGCCCTAACGCACTTTAAAATCGCTATATGGCGACTCTTCTCTTTTAATACCCGTAATAGAGCTGTCACATGTCGAAACTCTCTTTCTCGAGAAAACGGGGTGCGACACTTGTTAATTTGTAGCTATTTTCACGATCACAAGGCCTAAGAAAGAAAATTTATTGCTTAATTTTATATATAAATTATTCTGTACAACTTGCTATTTTTTCAGTTTATTTTCATAAAACAGAAAACTTATCATAAATATTTGTGTGGTTATATGTCCATATAAGACATATGAATTTATTGAAAGAAACTAATAATCGTTCGTTTTATTAGTCGATTTTTAAATATGTATTGTCACTCCTAGGGGTGTCAATGGTTCGGTTCGGACAGTTAATTGATAAAATTTGTACCATACTAAATTTTTGGTTATTCTATTATGTATAACCAAAATTAGACTTTTCAAAACCGTCCCAATCATGTATGTTTCACGTCAGTATCGGTACAGTTCGGTTAATTTTTGGTATTTTTTTTTAAATATCATGTAAAATTCACCAGCAGAAGTAGAATTTAATAACACATGTTCTTTTATAGGACTTAGCAAAACTCTCTAGACATTTTTACTGTTTAAAGGTCATGAATTAAAAAAAATATGAAAGATGGCTAGAGTATAGATCCATCAACCATTCGACAACAACGTAAAAGAAACCAAGTAAAAGCAAAAAAAATATAAATCACATAAGTGGAAAGATATTAACCAAGCTGGGATTCAAGAATAAAGTTTATATTAAATATTCAAAAAGATAAATCTAAATTGTATGAAAGGAAACATATTCAATACATTGTAGTTTGCTACTCATAATCGCTAGAACACTTTGTGTCTTGCTAATAAAGATACTTGAAATAACTTAGTTTAAGTATAAGTAGCATAATAGATTTTAGGAATTACTACTTTGAGTTTAATTACTTGTTGTCTTATAACAATTTTCATAATTCCAAGACCCAATGAAAAATTAATGCTTTATTAGTTTTAAACTTACTATATAAATATCTTTTCCACATATAAAATATATTCGATACGGTTCGGTATTATCCACAAAGAAACTTACAACCATCTTCCATGATATGATACACAAAGAAATAGATGTGTAAGTTGACGACGTCATTATCAAATCCAAAAGGGCCGCAGATCACATAGCGG